GTCATCGCTCCAGCAGCGTGTACATCGTACACCCTTTCTTTGCTAATTTTCCCACCCTGTGCAGCAAGCATGAAAGGGTTTTCCTGGCTGGGAGCTGATGGGCGAGTCGAGCTGGCTGTAGCCTGAGAGCTAGCGTTAGCTGTAGCAGTTTGTCTTTCATCATCTAAAATGGATGAAATGAGCGAATATTTGTTCAGCATTCGTTTTCATTTAGGATTTCTTAGCCAAAGAAAAATCTGCTAAGCCTGACTGCGTGGCGCTAATGTTATTGTAACAGGGTACCCTAGGTAACAGACGCGCTGCTCGGTTGAGAAGCAGTGGCACTTGTGCATAGAGTCAAATACATGGCACTCTGGAATTTAAGTCTATGTTTTGCAGAAAGACGCTTCAGCATATTGCTGGTGTTTCCACTCTTACACGCGCCATGACACGTGTCATTCTGTAACAAACAAACTTCGACTACTGGTGGGGAAAAACTGAGACTTTTCTACATCTTCCGTTTTGTGCTTCACAGAGACGTGGCTTTGTGGATTGATACCGGACTCGGTAGCTGGCCGGCTACCAGCTGTTCAGAGCGGATCGTGACATGGAGCTCTCCGGCAAATTGGTGGAGGTTATTGGTGGAGGAATCTGTTTTTATACTAACAGTTAACAATTAACAACGATCTGGAAACTTTGTTCATAAACTGCAAACCCTTCTATTGCCCCCGTGAGTTTGCTTATTCATAATAGTCTGTGTTTACATACCACCACAGGCCAACATGCAGGAGGCACAGCGCATGCTCGTCGACCAGATACTGTGTGAGGGGGAACAGACTCCTTAGTTATTGTCCACCTTAACAAAGGTAATCTCAGCCACGAACCCCCCAAATACTGTCAGTGTATTAAATGTCAGACCAGAGAGGAGAACCTGTTAGATCACTGTTACACTACATTCAGCGAAGCCTATCAAGCCGTCCCCCGCGCTGCACTGAGACACTCTGACCGCGTCGTGGTTCACCTGATTCCCTCATACAGGCAGAAATTACAACTTTCTAAACTTGTTGTGAGGATATCAAAGAGGTGCTAAAAGACTGTACTCAGACAGATCACAGCTACAAACCTAAAGCCCCCCACTCTATTAACAGTCTGTGCCTGGCAAACAGCCTGAACCAGTTTTACTGCCGTTTTGAAAGACAATGGGACAGTCCTGATACCATCCCCCGTGACCTGGTCCACCAGCTCCAGACCTCCAGCTCCTCCTCCCCCACCACAGTAGGGGCCTTGGCCTCTTCATTACTGCCTACATCAGAGCCACCCCCCCACCACAACCCTCTACATCCTTGAGAGAGATGGTAAACGGCTGTTCAAAATACAGAACCCCCGCAAAGCAGCCGGGCCAGACTCTGGCTCTCCCTCTACCGTGAAGCACTGTGCTGATCAGCTGTCTCCAGTGTTCACAGACATCTTCAACATCTCTCTGGAGACATGTCATGCCAGCCTGCTTCAAGACCTCCACCATCATCCCCATCCCCCCAAAAAACAAGGATCACAAGACTGAATGACTACAGACCTGTCGCCCTGACCTCTGTGGTCATGAAGTCTTTTGAGTGCCTTGTTCTGTCACACCTCAAAACCCTCACTGACCCACTTCTGGACCCCCTGCAGTTCACCTACAGAGCCAACAGGTCTGTAGACAACGCAGTCAACATGGCCCTCATTCAATCCTCCAGCACCAGGACTCCTCAGGAACCTATGCCAGGATCCTTCTTCTTCTTCGTGTGGGTAGTTCTTCTTTGACGGGTTATCCGTCCTTCCGCCCGGACCAAGGGCCGAGGGTCTATCCTTTTACCACCCTGGGTCCGGGGGGGTCCTCCCATGTTATATGTCCGGGCAAACATCTAGCAACCACGTCACCGAGCTGTCATCCAGATCCGCCAAACCACGTATCCCATTGGGAGCCCGATATATCGGGCAGGACAGGATTATGTGGTCGGCGGTCTGTTCCTCTGCGCCACACTCACACGCCGCGTCCAGTGCTAGGCCCCATCTGTGCGTGGTTGAGCGGAATCGTCCAACGCCAGTTCGGAGGCGGTTAAGCCTCACCCAGGCCACTCTTGGCAGCGAGAAGCCTGTTGGTGAGCTGGCGTCGGGTATGAAGTCACAGAGTCTGGGAGTCATGTTTCCCAGTTCCATGCTCCATTGATGGTCTGTCTGCCAGGATCCTGTTTGTGGATTTCAGCTCTGCCTACAACACCATCATTCCAGCTCTGCTGCAGGACAAGCTATCCCAGCTGCACCTGCCTGACTCCACCTGCAGGTGGATTACAGACTTCCTGTCTGACAGGAAGCAGCATGTGAAGCCAACAGCTGCACCTCCAGTCACCAGTCCGTCAAGGTCCTGAAGTTTGGGGATGACACCACTGTCATCGGACTCATGTCTGGTGGGGATGAGTCCGCCTCCAGGTGGGAGATTGACCCTCTGGTGACCTGGTGCAGTCAGAACAACTTGGAGCTAAACACTCAAGAGACAGTGGAGATGGTTGTGGACTTTCGAAAGTACGCAGCCCCACCAGCCCCCATCACCGGGGTGACTCCCCGGTCAACACTGTGGAGTCCTTCTGCTTCCTGGGCTCCCTCATCTTCCAGGACCTCAAGTGGGAGCTGAACATCAACTCCCTTACCAAAAAAGCACATCAGATGACGTACTTCCTGCGGCAGCTGAGAGAATGCCAAAGACAGGTGAAAAGGAAGGTGATTGACTACAATCTGCCGTCCCTCGAGGACCTGTATGCCTCCAAGACCCTGAGGCGGGAAGATTGTATCCGACCTGTCACACCTTCCACCCCAGACAGAAACACTCCCCTCTGGCAGGAGGCTGAGGTCCATCAGGACCAAAACCTCACACCATGTTTATTTTTCCGACTGCAGTTGACCACTGCATATATTATATAAATAAACTGTGAACTTTGTACATCCCCATATTGCACACATTGTAAATATGTGTTACTTGTTATTAGTTAGTTTTTATTTTATTTTGTATTGTAATATTTTACTCTATATTTATGTCCTTGATAGTTCCTGTTTATTGTATGTACCATCCACACCAAAGCAAATTCCTTGTAAGTGAAACTTATCTGGCAATAAATCTCATTCTGATTCTCCGATTACAACAGAAGACTAATGTGAGTGTCGCAACTTTCTCTTTCAATGCGTCTGGTGTGTGTGTATGTGTGTGTGTGTGTGTGTGTGTGTGTGTGGGGGGGGGGGGGGGGGGTGCTGACCAAACAGTGCGTGTGGTATGGAGGGGGCGTGGCTTGGCGTCGGCTGCCAACAAAGGGGGCGGGGTGCGGACCGACGCAGTTGTCCGAACCCTGAGTAGCAAGTGTATTCCTTTGGGTGGCAGTTGAGGTCTAGCCCTCCAGGTTGCCTCTGTTGTACAGCTACTAAAGCCTACTACCACACATGTCTTTGTGTTTTAGTTGTAAAGGTTGGTTGAGCTGGTTTTCAATTACAAATGAGCCTACTGCTGTAGCCTATAGTACTACTACTGCTGTAGCCCAAGCTTTGTAAAACCGTTATTGTAAACCAATGTTAAGGTTATTTGTTGTTTGATTGGGCTGTAGTAGCCTAGGCTACGAACATTTCTTTTTTCAATATGAACTAACATTAACATTGTTGTTAATAGCCTACAATAGTAGAGTCAAATCCAACAGCATATACATTGGGCTTTTCAAAGGTTTATCTTACGCATTATATTTTCCTATGTCGTATTGAAATTGTGTCAAGGGGAATGCTTATTTAAACCTGTAATAACTTGTTATCATCGTTGTATCCAAGCCTGTTGTATCATGTGTACTGCGGTAGTAATAACCATCATCTTATACATACGCCATGATTGAACAGTCATTACTTGTGTTAACTAGAGGGAGATGCTGCCAATGAAACACCTGTGGTAGCTCAAATTGAAGGCTAAAGTTTATGCTGTAGAGCTTTCTAGTGGTTAGTCTAGTTAGTCTAGTCTAGTGGTTAGTCTAGTTAGTCTAGTCTAGTGGTTAGTCTTGTGGTTAGTCTAGTCTAGTGGTTAGTCTAGTTAGTCTAGTCTAGTGGTTAGTCTAGTTAGTCTAGTCTAGTGGTTAGTCTAGTCTAGTGGTTAGTCTATTTAGTTTAGTCTAGGGGTTAGTCTAGTCTAGTGGTTAGTCTAGTTAGTCTAGTCTAGTGGTTAGTCTAGTGGTTAGTCTTGTGGTTAGTCTAGTTAGTCTAGTCTAGTGGTTAGTCTTGTGGTTAGTCTAGTCTAGTGGTTAGTCTAGTTAGTCTAGTCTAGTGGTAAGTCTTGTGGTTAGTCTAGTCTTGTGGTTAGTCTAGTTAGTCTTGGTGGTTAGTCTTAATCTTAAGTGGAGGGACCAACCAAATCTTTCTCACTTCTGCAATGTGTCACATGAGCTAGACCTCCCCTTACAAGTGGAAAGTGTTTTGACACGATGTTTAATGAGTTCATTCACCCTGGGAGGGAGACCCACTGGTAAGATACTGCAGTCCAGGAGGTGAGTCCATCCCTAACCCCTAACCCTAATCCTAAACCTACCCCCTAACCCTAATCCTACCCCCTAACCCTAATCCTAAACCTACCCCCTAACCCTAAACCTACCCCCTAACCCTAACCCTAAATGTACCCCCTAATCCTAAACCTACCCCCTAACCCTAACCCCAACCCTAACCCTAACCATCGCTGCATGTCTGTCTGTCTGTGGAGCGGAACAGATCGATAGACAAAATAGGCAAACAAGGGACTTATGAGTCACGTCAATGGGAAATATAAGAATGACAGACAACATTAAATATGCCTATTACACAAACTGTATTTACAGATTTTGATAGTGACGGTTGCCGGTCCCAATCTGGCAGTAGGATCTGCACACGTTAAGCCCTGAACCTAACGCCTAAACTTAACGACCTAACCCGCTCCTAACCCGCTCCCCCCTCCCCACACACACAACGGTAGCTACCTTCGTCTCCCTTTCGGTCGAGTGGTTAAGGCGATGGGCCAGAAATCCACGGGGGTCGTAGGTTCGAGTCCTGCCGACAGCAACAACATTTTTTTATTGGCTTTGCTGTAGTGAAATATGTCTCCTAAATCCCTATCTAAGCACTAAACCAACTGTTAAACTATACCTGAACTCACAAGTAAACCCGACCACGGTCCTTTTTGAGCCTCGACAGTGTCCGTATGAGGGCAGGACCTGAATACCTACCATACAGTTTGGTAAACACTGATGACAGCTTCACTTTTCTGCACCGCATGCCCACTTTTAAAACTACACCGTTTCTGAAAAACAAACGTAGGTAAATTAAACGCTACTCTATCACTGTTAGCACCTGTTACACGTTTAGATCAACGCAGAACACGTTTCATGTTCATGTCATTTACGACCATTTAATCACGTAATTTACGAAATAATGGAGACAATGTGCGCCACAAAATGAACGAGGGCGCAGCAAAGAGATGAGGAATTGAACCGGTCAGCCGATGGTGAATGTGTACTACAGTGTACTACAGTACAATGTACTACAGTGTACTACACTACAATGTAGGCTACTATGTACTACAATGTACTCCACTACAGTGTACTACACTACAATGTACTACAATGTACTCCACTACAGTGTACTACACTACAGTGTACTACAGTGTACTGCACTACAGTGTACTACACTACAATGTACTGCACTACAGTATACTACACTACAGTATACTACACTACAGTGTACTGCACTACAGTATACTACACTACAGTGTACTGCACTACAGTGTACTGCACTACAATGTACTGCACTACAGTATACTGCACTACAGTGTACTGCACTACAGTGTACTGCACTACAATGTACTGCACTACAGTATACTGCACTACAGTGTACTGCACTACAGTGTACTACACTACAGTGTACTGCACTACAGTGTACTGTACTACAGTGTCCTAATGCAGTGCCTTGATGGGTGTCAAGTGAGGTTTTTGTACATACCAGGCTCTGATATGTACAAATGAATAAAGAAAACGCGCTGTCCATAGTACAATAGTATTAGTATGTGTATAGTGTTGGCTGCTGTGGAAAAGTCAGCGTAATAATAGTCCCAGTAAAGGTGAAATAGTAGGCCTACTTTGGTTGAAGTAGGAGTCATTAAACATTTTACTCAAACATGTTTACGTACTTAGTGTTAGTCTGGCCTTGTTAGTTAATTTTCATGGTGTTGTCAGATTATTATTACTCAACACATTTCCCCCTCACTTATGAACCTGTTGGTTCCCAAAACCAGAACGCTAAACTAAAACTAAACTAGACTAAAAAGTTGTGATTTCCTCTTAATGTCATCAAACTGAAACTAACTTCAATTGTTATATTTTATGAACTTGTTAAATGCTACCGTTATATATGTCCGCCCCCTACGGCACCTATTGCACTCCTAACCGTCCCTGGAAGGAGGGATCCCTCTTCTGTGGTCCTTCTCAAGGTTTCTGCCGTTGGGCCTGTGAAGCCCCATGAGACTAACTGTGATTAAGGAGTCTACAAACAGATTAAGGGCTTTTACACAAAGCGGTAAAATATATGAAATTAAAATGTTTTTGGAATGGCGTGGAATACAAGGTGTCATTTACATATCCTCATATCTCTGAAAAACAGATCATCTCTATGTGTCCACTGGCCAAGAGATGGAGGAGAGAGAGAGGTAGCGCGCGCACACACACATACACACAGACACACACACACAAAGACACACAATCTGCATTACATTTAGAGTGTTTATACACATACACACACAACACTGTTATAATACTTTGAGTTTATTTGTGTGTGTGTGTGTGTGTGTGTGTGTGTGTGTGTGTGTGTGTGTGTGTGTGTGTGTGTGTGTGTGTGTGTGTGTGTGTGTGTAGCGCTGTAGAGGAGCAGCATGGTGAGAGAGGCCTGCTCCACCTGTGGAAGCCTGGGCTCTGTAGTGTGGAGGTCTGCCCAGACCGGCCTCTGCTGCCCAGGCCAGTCCTGCAGGCCGCACTGGGGTCTGAGTATGGCCTTCTGCTGGTACAGGGTGAGTAATACAGTAGGCTGTAGGCCTTCTTGATTATGAAGTACACGTCTCTCTTTGCGTTGAGTTTAGGTTAGAAATGGTTAGTTTATGTGTAAGGTTAGAGATGGTTAAGTTTAGGTATTAGGTTAGAGATTGTTGGTTTATGTTAGAGATAGTTAGTGTAGGTTAGCGATGGTTAGTTTAGGTTAGAGATGGTGAGTGTAGGTTAGGAATGGTTAGTGTAGGTTAGAGGTGGTTAGTGTAGGTTAGAGATGGTTAGTTTAGGTTAGAGGTGGTTAGTGTAGGTTAGAGATGGTTAGTTTAGGTTAGAGATGGTTAGTTTAGGTTAGAGATGGTGAGTGTAGGTTAGAGATGGTTAGTTTAGGTTAGAGATGGTGAGTGTAGGTTAGAGATGGTTAGTTTAGGTTAAGATGGTGAGTGTAGGTTAGGGATGGTTAGTGTAGGTTATAGGTGGTTAGTTTAGGTTAGAGATGGTTAGTTTAGGTTAGAGATGGTGAGTGTAGGTTAGAGATGGTTAGTTTAGGTTAGAGATGGTTAGTTTAGGTTAGAGATGGTGAGTGTAAGTTAGAGATGGTTAGTTTAGGTTAGAGATGGTGAGTGTAGGTTAGAGATGGTTAGTTTAGGTTAGAGATGGTGAGTGTAGGTTAGAGATGGTTAGTTTAGGTTAGAGATGGTTACTTTAGGTTAGAGATGGTGAGTGTAAGTTAGAGATGGTTAGTTTAGGTTAGAGATGGTGAGTGTAGGTTAGAGATGGTTAGTTTAGGTTAGAGATGGTGAGTGTAAGTTAGAGATGGTTAGTTTAGGTTAGAGATGGTGAGTGTAGGTTAGAGATGGTTAGTTTAGGTTAGAGATGGTGAGTGTAGGTTAGAGATGGTTGAGAGTAACTCGGCCCCTCTCTCCAGGTGGTGTAGTGTACTCGATTGGCGTGTTTCCATGGAGACGGAGGAGCCAGAGCGTTGGGGTGTGTGGTCCGGTGCTGGAGGTGAGGCTGGGGGGGCAGACGGTGGTGCGCGTGGCGGCTGGCCCCTCCCACTGTGGAGTTGTCACCGAGGTGGGTGGAGTCTACATGTGGGGCGACAACACCGCCGGACAGTGTGGGCCAATCAGGAAGGAGAGGAGGCAGGGACAGCCAGGTGGGTGTTTGGCTCCTTCCCTTTTGTATTCATTATACTGTATATACTGTATATACTGTACTTCCTTTCTTCCTCTTATGGTGGTCTGATTTATTCTCATTACTTTAGACTCTTATAATGGTCAGTAATGTTTCAATGATAACTATACATGGGGTGACGGACCGCCTGCTTCGCACACGGGAGAAGTTTCCCTTCAGATCTTTCTGCCAGAAATTGCTTACTGCCTAACCCTTATCTGATCAAGTACTTGCCTAACCCTAACCAAGTAGTTGTGTTGCCTAAACCTAACCAAACTGACCAAAAAGTGAAAATACCCTGGTGAACCCTGGTCTACTATGTGAAAGTCCTCTGTTTGACCCATTCATCCACCATGACCTCCTCCAATGTACTTTGTCGCTCTTTTTACTACGTCACCTGATTTCCTAAAGCCTTTCTGGCAGAAAGGGCTTTCTAGCAGAAACTTCCCCATGTGTGCCTGCTTTGTCCTTCCTGTTATGTTTTCTGGTTCATACTAGTTGAGGAGGTTCCCATAAATGTTCATTTGTATGACACATTACAAAGTTCACCATTTCATCACTGAATTACTGACTTTTTTGGGGAATTATGGTGGTAGACAGACAGACCAAGATTGTGAACACCAGCATACAGACCCACGGCATACACCAATGGCGGCTTTTCTTCACAGAAGCATAATTCATGCTTTATGGTCCCCCCCCCCCCCCAGATGCATCAGCATCAGAGAGGGGATGTGTGTTCATTCCCCATCCATCCCCGGTCAGGGTGGTGGATGTGGACCTCATGCCCCCATCTGTGGTGAGGCTGGTGGAGCTGGCCTGTGGCAGGGAGCACACCCTGGCTCTCTCTGCCCAGGGAGAGGTGTGGGCCTGGGGCTCGGGCTGCCAGCTGGGCCTGGTCACCAAGACCAGCTCTGGAGGGACCCCATGCAAGGTGTGTGTGTATGTATGTGCATGTGTGTGTGTGTTTAACTTATATATATATGAGCATGTGTGTTTGGTCCTTGTTAAATATGTTTGTCCTTCTCTCAGGTGGAACACCTGGTGGGTCGTCATGTGATCCAGGTGAGGTTGTTCGTTTATTTTGTTACCACAGATTTGCTCTGTAAGACTTGGCTCTCTGTTGTTTCATAGTTCATTATCTACTTTTTTTTGTTACTTACTTTTTATTAGGTATCTTTTACAGAACACATAAACAAAAATGATAAATATGTGTCAACCGGGCACAAAACCAAATAACATAAACAACAAGGGGAGGATCCATCTGTTGAATAAACAACACAATCTACATATATCTATACAGTACACACATGCGCACACATACACACCCATACCTATGTATACATATCTCCACATATATAGACACACACAAATGTACACACGTACGTATACACACACCCTGTGACACATGAGCACATCCATATACATTCATATCATCCTATAATGATTCTGCACTGATTCTGCACTGATTTTAGAGTGTATATTACTGCTATACAAAATCAGGCCTCACAGTTGACACATGGGTAAGCCATTTTGACACATTTTCAATCAATTTGGCCTTACATTTTTGTGATCTGAAAAGCTGATTGATGTGAAGTGTTGCCGTCCTCTTCTCTCGGTCTGTCACCCTTGTGCATTCAATGACTTGCCTAATTATCCACCACCAGCTTGGGGTTTTTTTAAAACCCAAAGCATATATTTCCTCATATTTGTAGTGCGACACAAAAAAGAACCAGATTCATACCGAAATTCAAAAAACATTATTTTGTGTATGTTCTGATATGGCATCTGACAGTGTTCCACTATTAATATATGGCATTTTTCCACTACATGGTATGGCTCGACTCTACTCTA